GGCCCCTCGCCGCCGCTGCGCGCCGCGCAAAGCCACGGTGCTGGGGCCAGGGGCCGGCTCCTCTATATCAGCGTGTGCGGTATCCGGGGGCGGAGGCCCGGTCGCATCCTCCCCCCAGCACGGCCCGCGCCCTGCACCCCCACCCCAGCCTGGCTGGAGTCTTCGCCCTCATCCTCTCGGCCGCCCGGAGCCCAAGCGCCCGGGAATCTGGGCAGGTGTCCGGCGGCACCAAGGAGCCTCGGGCCACCCGCCTGCGTTGGGAGGAGGCGAGCTTCTGTTTGCAAGCCCAGCTTAGTCGTGGCGAGAGCCAAGCTGGTGGTGCTGGTCGTTTTGCGGCATGGAAATGGGTAAAGGCGAGAGCGGGGACGGTGGCCAAGGGACAGGTTCAAGGCTAGAGACCAGGTTCTCACTTTGGTCTTGCCACATTTTCTCACTCAAGCCTCAGGCAAATCTCTCTCCCCTCTCCAGTTTTCAGTTTGCTCATCTGTGAAGTGGGGATGATGCCTGATCTTCCTGAAGGGTGGGTCGTGAGGATGAACCGAGGTAGTGCGAGCAAAGCCCATGCTGCGCGCAAGGCAGAGGGGCTCAGGATGGCCCATCGGGGAGATGTTGGGCAAACCCCTCTTCTCCGTGAGCCTCAGTTTGCTGGGCTGGAAATGGAGATGCCATTCTTTGCATTTCCAAGATCTAGTGAGGACTGACCCCACCGCAGGACACGGAAGCTGGGAGAACAGAGCCCATAGGAGGGGTATCTCGGCACCCCTCTGAGCGTTCACGCGGGTTGGGGGGCAGAGGAAGGAGAGCCCCGCAGCGTTGGGGACAAAGAGGTTCCCGGGCAACCAGATGGCAGAGAGGTGTTCTGGACTGGGGAATGTCCACTGGGCCGCTCAGTTTTTCAGTTGAAGAAACTGAGACCCGAGAGGAAGAGGATCTGCGGTCATCCTGCCTCCCCCTCGGGCACCTGGGGTCAAGAACTTGTCGGGGACCAAAAAGCCGCTAATACCCAGTTTGGGAGCAGCTAACCTAAAGGCTACTTCTAGGCTTGCGCCTAGAGGCCTCGGGCTTCTGCTGGAGCGGGCGCCTTGGTCCTGAGAGCCGAGACCCCGCGCCGACCGCCGCTCCTCTGCTCAGCCCGCCAGCGCGGAGCGGAATCTGCAGACTTGCAGTGCAAGCTCGAGCGAGTTGCTTCTCTCTGGGCCTCAGTTTCTCTGTATATAAAATGGAAACGATTGTCGGTTTCCGTGAGATTACATGGATGTAGCTTGGGTGGGAAAAGAGGAAAGAGACAGAGATGAGTTGAACTGGTCAGAGGCCCCCTTAACCCCAACCCCTGAGAAACAACAGCATCTGCCCAACTGGAGGTGGGGGCTCCTTCTGCCTCTACAGCTCCTCATCTAAGAGGGGCCCTCAGAAAGTGAAAGGCAGGAGCAGCACCGCCTCTGCTGGGGGGTGGAGGGAGTGATGGGGAGGGCTGGGCTAGGGGGTTCTGGCTCAGCTTCCACAAGCTAGAGCCTACCTGGGGTTTCCTGGACACTAGGCAATGTAAGCACAAGTCCAGGAGGGGACTCAGGTGGGAGGGGGCGGGGCTCTGAGCCAGCTCTTGGTTCTCCCACACCTTAAGCTCCCTCTCCCCTCAGGGCTTCTACTATCATAGGTTGGGAGCCCATGGCTCCCTTGTGGTGCCCCCTCCCCCAGCCCCAGGTTCCAGAGTTCCAGCTGACATGTGGGGAATTTCAGCCCCTCACCCACCTACTTGGGGAAACAAACATAGACCTGACCCAGTAGTAGAACCTGGACTGACAGATGGACCCTGGAGACAGACATGGATACACAGGGAGCCTCCCAGACAGCCACAGAGACAACACAGACACTCGGCAAGGAGACCCAGAGACCCGGCACCAGACTCAGAGACCCACAGGTACACTTATGGGCTTATGGGCTCAAAACCACTCACCACTGTGAACACCTAGCCACCTATGGACTGCGGCACCCCAGCAGAACCCCACAGGGCTTGTCGCCATAGGCCTAGCTCCACCCATCAGCACCCAGGGAAAAAGAGGGGGCAGTGAAGTGGGAGGACAGGTCTGGGGATACCCCTGGGCCCTTTCCTGCCCAGACCAGTGGGCACTGGTCACTCAGCAAGCAGACAGTGCCTGGCCCAGGCCGCAGGGAGGCACAGAGGAAGGAGGCTGGCCATTAGAGGCCTGGGCCCAGGCCTTCACTTACGGAGCGGAAGGAGAGCTCTCACGCCGGATGAGGGTGAACAGTGGGCAGCGAGGGTCCAGGGGGAGGCTCCGGCAGCCCAGGTGGGGCGGTGGTGACCGTGGGCACGCAGGAACTCCCTTGCACCACAGCGGGCGGCGGCCGGAGGGCAGGCTGGCCCTGTCCGTCCGTCCTCCTCCTCCTCCTCCCCGCCCTGGGGGGGGCCACCAGAGGCCCAATTGGTCTCTGCCCCCACGTGACTCTGCAGGCCTCTCTCTTTCTTTGTTGGTGTTTCTCTTCATTTAGGTCTATTTTTTTTCTTCTAGGAGAAGAAAAAAAATTACCCCTATCTATCTGGGGGCCGAGGGTGGGGGTGGAGGCCAAGGCACTCTGGAGGCCTTGGCCAGCTGGCTGTTCCAGGCCGCTGTGGGAGCCCAGAGGCAGGGACCCCACGTAGGCGGGTAGGCAGCCCCGCTTGTTAGCAACTGGGTGGGAGTGGGGCCTGATTTATGGACTGCTCCCCCACCCGGCCTGCAGCCTGCCGCTCTCCCCTTGAATGGCTACCTCCCTGGGGCCTGGCCCGGCCTGGTCTGACTCGGCCCAGACGTTAGAGTGGAGTCAGGATGCGCTGGTGCAGAGGCCAGGGCAACTGGACAGCTTGATTAGGTGACCTGCAGCTTTGACCTGATCTTTTTGTTCTTCTATAAGGTGAAGAAAAGAAGAAGAAGCAATGGAAGGTAAGCAGGTAAGCTGGCTGAACACCTCCTGCGTGCATTCAGCGTTAGCTTCTTAGAATGTCACCATCTACTGTGGGCTGTGGTTTTCCAGCTGATTGCTGGAAAAATTGAGGCCAACCTGAGACAGCCTGTGGGACCCTTCTGCAGCAGCCCCAGGTTGAACCAAGTGGGTATCTAAGTCAGGATAGGGCACGGTAGAGGAAAGGGGTTTTTATCTAGAAGGCCAGGCCTCACCAGGTTCTGAACTATCTCAGTCCTGGGGCCCAGATTGCTGTACCCTGCACCCCTCCTTTGGGAGATGTGCTCTTTCGTCATTCCTTAGTTCATCTCATGCTTACTGAGTGTACTCTAAGTATTAGGCGCTGTTCCAGGCTCTGTTCCAGGCTCTGTTCCATGCACTGGGATGACACAGTGAAGTAAAGGGAAGAAATCTCTGTCCTCAGAGGATTTACTTCTCAGCCATTCATCCTGGGGGTGTGGGGAGGGACACAG